AGTAGGTTAGTTTTGGTGGGTTCAAGCCCCAGCGTTGTCGCGATGTCGTGTAAGATTACGTATACGGTGATGTTTTATAAGGTGCATTTTGTTGAGACCAGTTTGCGTACCTATAGTATACTTAGGTTACTTTTACGTTGTTACCTTACCTTTACGTTACGTTAACTAGTATTTACGTTACTTTACCGTTTACCTTACGTTACCGTACATTTAGGTTGCCGTGACGTTACGTTTGACTTGTTTACGTTACCTGATGATTATTTCCGTAAAATTGGTTCACTGGTTACATGTATTATGTTATTATGTTTATCTTGCATCTGATATGTTCTAAAGTGTCCTATGTGTTTTTGATCTACGAACAAATACCTCTGAAGTAATCTGATTATCGCCGTATATGTTTAAGTATTAATACTTGGAGTCTTACGATGATTAAGAATTTTTGGTTGGAACAAACCATAAGTATAATGAATTTATAGTATTTCCCATTACATATGTTTATTTACTGAAATTAGATTAATTTTATTCGAATTTAGATATATCGTTACACGACCTTCAATAATTAAAACTGTACCTTTTATGTTTAGCTCTTATGTGTGCATATGTTTGTGTGAAGTCTTGGCCAAGCATGTGTGAATGTGAGTGAATGATTGAGATATGTACTACATAAGATGCTATGATACTCCTTGGTTTTAGTTATGTTGATGAATGTAATATGTCTGTAAAGTGATCGTTAAAGCCTTGGAAATATTGGGAATTAAGACCTTTTCTTAGGTCGGATAGTAATCCTCTTTTCGAGGAAGAGGGGAGTGTAACGGTCCCTATTTTAAAATCTATATAAAGCGTGAAGGATCACATTCAATAATGTTTAATTGTAATTTATTTAAGAAATTGTTTAAGTAGTGCCATCTAGTGATCAGAGTAGTGTGCAGACAAATCAAGTAGGCGAATAATACTGCTTGAGTTTAAAAAGGGTTGCGCGAATGGCCGCAGTTCGGTCGATGTCGAAGCGGAGAACGCTGGAGAAAGGCGAGGAAGATGGCGACTGGTACAGGAGAACTGAGTGATTAAGTACAAATAAGAAGTTCTAAATTATATCCTGTTAAAATATCAGTTTGGTAAAAGTACCTTGCTCCTAGGAGTATGAATCTGATGATATTCGAATTCCAATCTACATTTTGTAAGTTATAACTATATTTTCGATGATCAGGCTAGCCTACAAAAAAGTGCTACGACCACTATAGAGATATCTCGCGGGTGAATTAACTATAACTTTGTGTCTAAATCGTGAAATTCCTACTTTAATTTGACAAACTTTCTGTAGTTATTTTCGATGAATACTTCATTTTTGTATGTAGTTTAAGTTTAGCCAAGTGGCTACATTCCGTTTTTGTACAGTTTAGTCATTAGAGAGTTGTGTTGTGGCTATACACTGTTGCCACATACTTGTGCATTTGTTAATTTGACGAATATAAAATAGTCTAAATTTTCTGGTTTTTCTTTAGTAGTACATATTAGAATTTGTCTGTTTCACATATAATATTAAAATCAGGGGCGCCCAGTTAGCACAATTACCGATAAGAGAGTTTTCCAAAGTCACACAGCCCACTCCTTGAGTCTACAAGAGTACATGCTGTTAGCCGGCATAGAGNCACTTTGCAGGGAAAACCATCAATTTTAGCGAAAAGTGACTCACAGACAGCTTATAGGGAGTATAGTGCGATCGTGGGGAGAGTGTAACTCGAGAGGAGGAAGGAACCCAGCACGGGCGAGAGGGGTCCGTGCAGCATTCTTCTGAGAGACAGACAGGCAGGCGGTAGTCCTAACTGTCGTATTTTACTGTTTTCTTGTATAACCTTTGCTATATATGTATGTTTGTCAATATACGTTTATTAAGGAAGTTTACGTTGTGTTAACAATTATTCCCAGACACATATTTTTTGCTGCCTCTAGAGAATTTATCGATTTATCAGTAAACATGTCTTTATTTTTATACTGTAAATACTGCTAAAATTTTGAAATATGAAATACGTGTTTGTTTATTTTGAAAGACTGAATTATATTATAAAATGAACACTATTATTAGTATTCCCTTCTCGTTTCACAATATTTGGTAATATTGTCTCATCTGCTATCATTTATATACATTTTTTTCTNACGTTACGTTTGACTTGTTTACGTTACCTGATGATTATTTCCGTAAAATTGGTTCACTGGTTACATGTATTATGTTATTATGTTTATCTTGCATCTGATATGTTCTAAAGTGTCCTATGTGTTTTTGATCTACGAACAAATACCTCTGAAGTAATCTGATTATCGCCGTATATGTTTAAGTATTAATACTTGGAGTCTTACGATGATTAAGAATTTTTGGTTGGAACAAACCATAAGTATAATGAATTTATAGTATTTCCCATTACATATGTTTATTTACTGAAATTAGATTAATTTTATTCGAATTTAGATATATCGTTACACGACCTTCAATAATTAAAACTGTACCTTTTATGTTTAGCTCTTATGTGTGCATATGTTTGTGTGAAGTCTTGGCCAAGCATGTGTGAATGTGAGTGAATGATTGAGATATGTACTACATAAGATGCTATGATACTCCTTGGTTTTAGTTATGTTGATGAATGTAATATGTCTGTAAAGTGATCGTTAAAGCCTTGGAAATATTGGGAATTAAGACCTTTTCTTAGGTCGGATAGTAATCCTCTTTTCGAGGAAGAGGGGAGTGTAACGGTCCCTATTTTAAAATCTATATAAAGCGTGAAGGATCACATTCAATAATGTTTAATTGTAATTTATTTAAGAAATTGTTTAAGTAGTGCCATCTAGTGATCAGAGTAGTGTGCAGACAAATCAAGTAGGCGAATAATACTGCTTGAGTTTAAAAAGGGTTGCGCGAATGGCCGCAGTTCGGTCGATGTCGAAGCGGAGAACGCTGGAGAAAGGCGAGGAAGATGGCGACTGGTACAGGAGAACTGAGTGATTAAGTACAAATAAGAAGTTCTAAATTATATCCTGTTAAAATATCAGTTTGGTAAAAGTACCTTGCTCCTAGGAGTATGAATCTGATGATATTCGAATTCCAATCTACATTTTGTAAGTTATAACTATATTTTCGATGATCAGGCTAGCCTACAAAAAAGTGCTACGACCACTATAGAGATATCTCGCGGGTGAATTAACTATAACTTTGTGTCTAAATCGTGAAATTCCTACTTTAATTTGACAAACTTTCTGTAGTTATTTTCGATGAATACTTCATTTTTGTATGTAGTTTAAGTTTAGCCAAGTGGCTACATTCCGTTTTTGTACAGTTTAGTCATTAGAGAGTTGTGTTGTGGCTATACACTGTTGCCACATACTTGTGCATTTGTTAATTTGACGAATATAAAATAGTCTAAATTTTCTGGTTTTTCTTTAGTAGTACATATTAGAATTTGTCTGTTTCACATATAATATTAAAATCAGGGGCGCCCAGTTAGCACAATTACCGATAAGAGAGTTTTCCAAAGTCACACAGCCCACTCCTTGAGTCTACAAGAGTACATGCTGTTAGCCGGCATAGAGTAAGCAAAATTAGATTTTATTATAAAATTGGGGTCTTACAAACTTTCTGAAAAAAGAATATTATAAGTTTATGGGACAAGGTTATTTTACCGTATGTCGATTTGAAAAATTTTGGTCAGGAATTTGGACTGACATGACCATAGAACAAATGTTGATGAGGCTGATGAAAAACCTCAAGGTGGGCTAACAAATGGAAGGGGTATTACTGACAGTGTCTTATCAAAATGGATATCAACAATGTATATCTGTAACAGACGTGACACAAGGTATTCAAACTTTTTGTGATGTTTCATTTGGGACAACAGAGCATCATGTCGACGCTAGACAGTGGAGAATTTCGAGAGATCGAGAAGATCTCATTAAATTATGACAATATTGCTTGCGAATCGCAAACCTAAAATAGAATAATATGAGTAATTAAAAATTAAACAAACATTCTTGATACAGGGGAAAAAATAACCATGTTAAAAGCAGTAATACATTCCCCGACCCGTCGAATGCGTCCGCACAAGATGATGAGACATCTGGTGATGAAGAGTCCGTGGATGACTTCATTCACCAGGAGCAAGAACGACGTTTATAGTGGACAAGGATGGCAGCTAGGCGAAGAACAGAGTTGAACAAGAACATTAGGGGATGCCGTATCCGTATCGCTACAGGAGGAGGCTCTCCAGCGACAGATGGAGGTATTGGCTCGGGAGAGGGAAGTTTCTGTTGCCGAATTACAACTATCTGAGACATGTCTCAATAAACTTAATGAAATTGATTAATAACTTGTTAGAGATCAATTTCATCCAATACATTTTATCTTATAATTTTTATTTAGTTATTTTATCTTTTTTTATAATAAAAATTTTTGTGTACCTACTTCATTCCGTGCTCCTTTCAATGCATTAAGTTGAGGTACACTTAAAAAAAATGCACCAAAATTCTGCAGAATGAATAATATAAAGAATTCTGACACCATTAAATTAAAAGAAAAACGAGATTTTGAGTCTCCTACTGTCGTCGGCGGCGACGATTTTTGAGAAATTTGCAAAATACTGAACGAGAAATAGTTTTATTAAAGTAACCTAACTTTCGTGGCCTGGGATTGGTCCAAACGACGTTTTGGGGCGGAGCCTCCCGTCCGCCAGATCAGATAAATACGCCGGGCGGAATTAGGTTCAGGGGGAGGAGCTCAGTTCCAAGCGAGCAGCCGAACTGTGCGGACGTAGTTTGTGCAGTGCAGCAGTGAGTGTCAGTGCGAGGAACAGTGAAGTGGGAGCCCCACAAAACCTGTCTTTTACAAGACAAGTAATATTCTGCCTTTATTAAGGCAATCTATAGAAAGAATTCGGCAATTTTATATTGCAAAATTTCTACTAACGACCGACGTTATCTCAGCCTAGGCAGAAAGACCGCCGGCATTTATTTTTCAGATTCGGGTGCCGGGGAGGAGGGCACTATGTCGAGATCTCCGACCCCCATGGAGAGCGACCGCTCGAGTGGCAGCGAAGCCGGCGACAGCAGGCCTAGCACCCCCGGGTCGGTCGTGGAGACAACTAGCCGTGAGAGTGAGCTGGCAGCAGAGAATGCCAGACTACGGCAAATGATCGACGACCTCAGAGATGAGCTGAGGCAACAGAGGAAGGCGTTCGACGACCTTGAAAAGAGGTCTCGAGAACAGCACGCCGAGCTGTTAAACGCCCTCAAGGGACAACAGACCTCAAAAGGGGTAAAGCGAGGTAAGCCAGGGACCTCGTCGGGTTCCGAGGAGGAGCCCTGCAAGGCTAAAAAGAAGCCAGCTAAAGAGAACGAAGCACCTGTCCCCGAACAGGCGAAGGTCCCAGCGACGGCATCAGAGCGCGCGGCCCCTGCCGAGAAAGCCGAGAGGATACCGCCTGTCATCCTTCGCAAGAAGGAGCAGTGGACTGAGGTCAGCAGGAGTCTGACCAACAGAAAAATAAATTACACCAGGGCCAGGTTAACGGGTGAAGGCATCGCCATTCACCCGCAAACGCCTGATGATTATCGACGCCTAACGCGTGTCCTCGCCGATGAGGGGAAGGAATTTCACACCTTCTCGCTCCCAAGCGAGCGGCTGCTAAGGGCCGTGATAAGAGGGCTACCAGACGGAATTTCCAACGAGGAAATCCGGTCCGACCTAGAAGAACAGGGCTTTAAAATAGCATCTGTCTTCAGAATGAAGAGCCGGAGGAACAAGGCCCCCATGCCTCTAGTACTCGTACAAGTCCCCCAGGAGCAAGACGACCTGCTCAAGGTGACAAGATGCTGCCACCTAGTCGTCAGGGTGGAACCGCAGAGGGCGAGAACCGAGCCGACGCAGTGCCATCGCTGCCAACGCTTCGGTCACGCGCAGAGCCGGTGCACCGCAGCTGTCAAGTGCGTGAAGTGCGGCGAGGGTCACCACTCGGCAGACTGCACCAAAAAACGTGAGACACCAGCAAGGTGCGCCAATTGCGGTGGCGAACATCCTGCCAGCTACCGCGGATGCCCAAGCTTCCCTAAAAAGACGACAGGGAAGCAGCAACAGCGCAAAGAAGACCCCCAAGCCGACAAACAACAGGCCAAGTCGGCACACCCCCCGAAGGTGACGGCGGCGAAAAGCTTCGCCGACGCCGCCAGGCCGAAGCAGGCCCCTGCCGCTGCACACAAGGGGGGCCCCAAAACCGACAGGGGTGCGGAACCCGCAAATGTGGCCAGCATGCTGGCACAGATGCGGGAGATGTACTCCGCGATGTCGGCTTTTTTCAGCAAAATGCCATCCCTATTACAAGAGTAAATGGACCCTCCGACTAGTGTGCAGTCCCTCAGAATTGCTTCCTGGAATGTCGACGGATTCCGGGGGCGAAAAATCGAACTCAAGGAGCTCTTGCCCCGTCTAGACGTGGACGTGATGGCGATACAAGAGACCAAAGTAGAGGACGCACACACTGTTAGGATTCCTGGCTACCTAGTGTATCGCAGGGACCGAAACAGACACGGAGGAGGCGTGGCCCTGCTCGTAAAAAGAGGTATAGATCACCATATGTTGCAGGTTCCTCAGCTAGAAAACATGGAAGCCGCCGCCGTATCGATTCGTACTCGCAGGTACGGAGACATCGCCGTGGTGACCTGTTATCAGCCCCCTCATCTCCCGCTCACCGATCACGATTTACGCGCGGTCCTGGAGACGTGGCCCCAAACCGTAGCCATCGGGGACTTTAACGCGAAATCGCCCGAATGGCACAGCACGACCACCACCACGCGTGGCAGGGTGCTTCTGCAATTCTTGCAGAACCACGAGGACGTTGCAGCGTATGGACCCGATGGACCGACGTACTACGGTGCAGTTGGAAGACCAGACGTGTTGGATATCGCTTTGCTCAGGGCAATACCGATGGACGCCGATCTGACGACGCACTACGAGGGGGCGACGAACCATGCCCCCATTCTCCTAACCTTAGGAGACGAGCGTCGCGGCGAGGACACCGTTGCCAAGCGGCGGACCGACTGGGGCCTATTCCGCGCAGAAATGCAACGAATATGCGCACCCATTCCGGTCATCCGCGACGCGGCGGACCTCGAGGCTGCCATCGCGAGCCTTGAGACGGATATCCACACCGCCTTGGAAGCCAGCACCACGGAGACGACGGAGAGAAGGATAGCGAACTATGCAGGTGAGTTACCTCTTATGTTGCAGGACCTAATCAGGGAAAGACGTGCGGCGAAAAGAAGAGCCACGAGGACAGCACACCCCCGGGATAAGCAGACGTTAAACCAGCTGAACCGGAGGGTAAAAGCGGCCCTAGAGGAGCACTACCAGGACTCGTGGCAACGACATCTGGAGTCACTAAACCCCGAAGACCGCAGCCTGTGGACGATGCAACGGGCGCTGAGGACCACCCGGAAGCCTATGCCTCCCATTCACGGAGAGAACGGGATCGTCTACACCAGGTATGAAAAGGCCGAGGCATTCGCCGACAGCCTTGAATTACAGTGTAGGGAAAACCTTCTCGACGACGAAGACGAGGACCACGCCGACGAGGTGGAACGACGCGTACGGCGCTACAGACGCCAACCCGACAGGGACGACATTAGGCCGGCGACACCCGAGGAGGTGAGGGACATCCTGCGGCGCCTCAACCCCCGCAAGGCACCCGGATGCGACCAGATCGGAAATCGAATACTCAGAAAGCTCCCCCACAAGGGAGTGATGGCGCTGCTCAACATCGTCAACGCCATCCTGAGACTGCGAAGATTCCCCGCTAGGTGGAAGAAAGCCGACGTCATCTTCTTCCCGAAACCAGGTAAGAATCTAACCTTTGCTGCCAGTTACAGGCCCATCAGTCTCCTGCCGATGATGAGCAAGGTAGCGGAGAGGATCATCCTGACCAGACTGCGTGAGAGCTCGGACGAATTGCGAGTCATCCCCGACGAACAATTCGCCTACCGCAGCGGACACTCAACGGAGCAACAGATACTCAGGTTAGTAGAACATCTGTCCGCAGGTTTCAACAACCGAGAATCCACCGCGGCAGTCTTCCTGGACGTCGCCAAGGCCTTCGACAGGGTCTGGCACGATGGGCTTCTGGCTAAGATGCTCGACTTTGGCTACCCTGTCGGACTGGTCAAACTGGTGGAGTCCTTCCTCAGAGGCAGGAAGCTGCGTGCGAAGGTGGAAGGGGCCCTATCCACCTATCGAGACGTCGAAGCAGGCGTCCCCCAAGGAGCCGTGCTATCACCGCACCTGTTCAACATCTATACATCCGACATGCCCAGGACAGAGCGCACTACCGTGTGCCTCTATGCCGATGACACCGCCATAACGGCCCGTTCCCTGAACCCCGATATGGCGAAGAGGTACCTCCAAAGAGCTGTAAGCCAACTAGAGGACTGGTGCAACAGGTGGAAGGTGGCGATCAACCCGGAGAAAAGCACAGGTATTATGTTTTCTCGTAGGTACCAAACGCGCCCCCAGGGACACGTGAAGTTCAACGGAGAAGACATCCAGTGGGCGACCACCGTCAAGTACCTAGGGGTAACCCTGGATCGCACGCTGACGTGGAAGCCGCACGTCGAAGCAGTGACGCGCAAAGCGAAGATGGTGAGGGCGAAGCTTTATCCGCTTCTGTGCAGGGACAGCCGTCTCTGCCTGCGGAATAAGCTAACCCTCATCAGAGCAGTACTGCAGCCACAGCTGACATACGCTGGAACCGCGTGGGGACACGCAGCGAAGACGCACCTAGCCCGGGTGCAAGCCGTCGAGAATATCGCCCTCCGTTGCGCGACGGGGGCCCCTTGGTTCGTCCGCAACAGCGACATTCGCCGGGATCTGGGATTCACCTCAGCCCTGGAAGCGATCAGAGAGCGCGCGAGAAAGCTTTTCGAGCGCGCCGAGATCCACAGCAACCCGCTGATCCGGAACGCGGTGGACTACCGACCCGAAGAGGCTGCCGGCAGACGCAGGCGGCCTAGACATCAACTCCTGGACGCAGGGTGAGTCGAAATTTTTCTGTCTGTTTCAGGACCGCCAGGATCAAGAGACGAAAACGACGACACACACACACACACACACCCCCCTACCTTCCTTATCCCACTCTCCCCTCCCGCGCTAGCCTAAGGGCCACCTTAGCAAAGCGCTTCCTAAGCTGCATAGCTGCACGACCTCACCCAAAACCACCACCCCGGTCGCAAACGACTGTCGTCGTTTGCGACCGATACACGACACCCCCGGGGGTATACACAGACGAGCCGGCGAAGAAAGAAGAGCGCCAGAAGAAAGGGCCCTAGCCGGCGGGGCCCAGCCAGGACAGGAGGAGGCCCCACGAACCGATCCAATCCGGCCGCGTTGGCGGTCCGGAATGACGGGGAAAGGGCCTACCTCTACGAGGCGTCCGGGCCTACAGCGATGAAGTGGGTAAAGAGCGATAATCCCGCTCGACCCCGCTCCATCCGAGGTCATTTTTCCTGCCAAGGATATTGGCGCGAGGTTCAGGGGCACTTATGATATGTTTTCGAGCCTACGTGCATCAATATTGAATGTTGATTTTTGTAGACAAAGAGGGTTTAGATCATTTTAGAGTGAATATTGAGTATTTGCGGGACCGCAAGTATAACTAGCAAAAAATTGTTAGTTCTTTTGTTAATATTATTATTTATGACACCACTAGAGGTGGTGGAGAGCCGCGTGGAACGCGTGTTATATTGAGTAGTTACCAAGTTACGAAAAAGAGAACTTTTCCGGGGAAAAAATTAATAGCGAAATTTGTGACTAGTAAATTCGCGAAGTAAATTATACCAAAAGACTTACCTAGGCGATTTCCTGGCAAAGCTGAAAGAAACGTGTAAAGTACTTACCTGTAATACATTCATCTGGAGGATCCTGGTGTGTTATTTCTTAGTATCACGGTACCTTCTGTACCGGTCTTGATAGATAGAATCTGAAACAAGAAATCATAAGAAACTTTATTAGTAAATATTAGTGATTGCTTTTAAGATAAATTTTGAGAACTAAGTAGAAACTAACTTTTTAGTGAATTTTGACTATTCCAAGTAAATTTATTAATAATAAATTACTTAACCCAAGTGCAGTGATTATCGAGCTAGGAGTCAAGCTGACGCTGGAAGGGTGATCATAAGCTACGACGGTAAGTGAGAACTCTCTGTACGGTTTTCTGTGACATAGAACTTGAGCGAAATAAGACTTTCCTAGTAGTGATTTACACGTAAAGTGCCTAGAACATATTTGAGACTAAATTTAGATTCTTATTCTTAATAGAGACATAAAGGGAATTGCATAACTCTAAACTAGTGACCATTAATACCCAATAAAGACATTGCTTTTCTAATTCAGTAACGTATACAAAACCCCGGTGGTTAATAAAGTTGAAATAAATCTAACTTGTCCTAACTGTATGTTATCTCGTTATTGCCTGTATGTAAATATGACGTCAAGAGAGCGAGCCCGCGCATGCGCGCTGCAACCCGCCGAGATTGGAATGGACGATCACCTGCATGAATCATTGACGTCAACAGAGTCGCTTGAAGGGGCTTTTGTGGCCACTGAACATCAAGATAATGGCATGGAGGTACGAGTAGGGCATAATGGAGACCGAATCCGTCCACATATTAACTTGTTAACGGAATTCCCCGATGAGTCACACGAAACGAACCCGGACGCAAGCGCCGGAGGGCCCGGCGATGCTTTTAGAGCAGGCGCGCGACGACACTACAAACTGAGTTAACACTTTCAATGCGGATGACGCGGATCCGCATCTATTGGGTTCATTTCTGTATGCGGCCGGCGCGAATCCGCGTCTCATACGTGCGTTTGTCATATGCGGTAGTATTCGTTTAGCTGTTGAGATAACATATAAATAAACCATTTTCTGAAATATATTTAGGCGCCGTTTTTTGTTTTGACATTATTGGTTAGTTTTGTGCAAATATTAGCATGGCGAGCAACAAGCCAAGGTTGTTCAATCGGTAAGAGAGAGACAGATAGTGCTGCGCGACAAAGAGAGAGGGAGATCGTTGAACATGTGTGTATGTTTCGCATTAACTGTGACAACCTGTGTGTGCATTAAACTCAATTGTGGTGTATGCTTTAGTTGTGGCAACACACATTCGGACGTCACAGCAAAAGTAGCCATAAATTGTCTACAAACTTGATTTATGTTTGCTGCATTGAATACACTGCGTCTATGGAGGTAGTTTGGAGAATGCACGCTAAAAAACGCGCTATCATTTAAGAACTGGCGGGAAATTAATCAGTGTGTAGTACGCCACACTCGTGTCTAT